CATCGCTGGCAATTTTGTCAGGTTGGATGGTAAAAGGCTAAATCGCCGCGATGATCCTAACTTTTTCATTTGTGCCGAAATGCCTTTTCCGCCTGGCAGCGCCCTTTCATGCGACCCTCGCCCCTAAATCCCCTGGCCCATTGTGGCCCTTCGTCTCCACGACGTTATTTTCTCGTTCGTCGGAATAGATGGATTCGCGAACGCGCGTTTACTTTATGCCTTTTCAAGCGTGTATCATCGGCAGACATTGCGCGTGCGCTTTTGTAACGCCGGCACCAAAGGCTATAGATGCTAGGTAAGTGCCCCATTCTCTTCTCCAATCAGCGTTAACACTCGCGGGGACAGCAGTCGTTGAGACCGTATAATTTAATCGCTTCGATTTGGTCCGGTTAAGTTGAACGTTAACGATAGTACGCGGCTGTTTATAATAGGACGATTCCACCCTTAACGAATACGTTGGTGCATCGAGGAATCCCGGATTGGATTAATTTCCATACTTTAGTAGATTGAAATGATTTTAAAAAAGAAATCGACTGGTGGCGTTGCTAGTTATTGTTTTATGGTTTGAATAAATTATTTCATAGAATAGGAAAGACACTGGTGGCTCTGATTTTATTTAGGCAATTCCGTACGAAACACTACTCCTCTCGAAGTATTATATGTGAATAAACACAATTGTACATTTATTGCTCAGGATCTATATACATTTTTTATGTTTAATTGTGATTATTGTACTTTCATTTGAAATAGAAAAATCGGATATGTTCCATACCACTTTAACGGGAAAACCCTTTATTTTTATGATGAAGATATTTGTCTTTCGTAAAACATTGTGGAAAAGGAACGGGCCCCTCAAACTAGAGTCTGGTAAGTCTACATCAGCAACCGACAACTGAATATACTAATAAATAGACTGCGGATCTTTATGCAAAATAAAGTCTTTGTAAACACACCTATAAAAATTGAACCTAAATAGGAATTTATTTTATTCTCCAAATATTATAACATGAACTTTAATTTCAATCCTTTTTACATTCTTGCATATTGTTTGCATTTTGTAGCTTCTTGCGCATTCAAATTTCCTATAAATGCATAAAGATTCGCAGTCTACTGATAAATATCTACCATTAAATATCAACGGAATACCGAAGGCAAAGACCAAATCGTTCGATCAATGTTGACCGATACCCTCGTGGCACGTCGAGAAAAGAATCACCTGCCAGCTATTTCACGTCACGATGACGCGCGGTCTCTTCACGAGACTGATAATCCCAGCAGGAAACCGCTCTAGATCTCTCCCGCGGTTTCTAAATTGCTCCACTGACGATAAAATGATACAATCGCTGACATCACTCTATTAACAACTATGATTTCATTCTAGACACTTAATATCCGATGTCCCACTATCTCTTTGACACTCAGATATCCTCGTGACATATACATATAATCTAACATCTGGTGCGGTATTTATTTTTGTGATCTCATTTCAATTCACGAATCCTATTCCAAATTTATTTTCATTAACACAAAGTGTAAAGTAATTATAAATGAAGACCAAACAAAAACCATCTATAATATAATACAGTAAAGTATATACCTAATATAATATAACGAAGAAAAATAATTTACGAATAATCCAATTCACTTACGTATATGAATCACGAATAAATCCCTATTTACCCCCTAGGAGAGCAACTTCCCTGATTAGCAAAAGTTTTATCTCCTCGACTGTTATAATCTCTGCAAACGTGGTTTGTTTCTCGCAGAGGCCAAGAGGTAACTAATCAGAAAATCAATGTGTCAAGAGATTTCGTTCAAAGAAGAAAGAAGAAGAAAACGAATTAGTAAAGTTGAGGGGATCCCAAAATCAAACAACAGAATATTGATGTCCCGAACTCTCTGTGTAAACTGCGAAAGTCCTTTCATGTATCGACTGTGCTGTGCTCGAATTAAACCTAGAGTGCGCTGTTGTACCGTCATCCGCCGGTAATGCAGGTCCGAAGACGCAAAAATTCCCTAGATCTCTCATGATAACACGACAGGATTATTATAGAAATATAAAAGAGAAATATATTATAAAATTTTCAAAATGATATAAATTTCTGAATTAACACATTGATGTAATCATTATTATTTGAAGCATAAGCTGTTCTTCGTAAGAATACTGACTGGTACCAAAACGGTGGCTAATAAACCGATCGAGTTCTAGAACTGTGACAAATGTCTTTCATAACTGTCGTCATAAGTTTTTATAAGGAAACTCTCGTCCCACATATTGCCTCGAACCTTGAAGGAAGGGTGCAAGAAATAGAAAGGAAGACAACTCGGTATAGAAATTTCAGGGAGTCATTAGAGGGTGAAATGAACAAAGTTACCCTACCCAGGTCAGATTATGAAATGCTTCAGTATTCAAAATTATTGATTCTCACCAAACTTTTGCAATAAATCTCTATCTCTAATTTATCCCAAGGCCTAGAAACTCACACATGAAAGATCTTTTACCTGTCCATTAAATTTCGCTATGAGTCTCCTCTGATCGCTCGACTTTGTCAATTAAATTCCATCCTCGATGGAAAGCAGCACTAGAAACTTTGTCGAACTTTCATCGTTCTGTGGCATAACCGGCCAAACCATCTGCTTCTCGTAAATACTCCATAAGACGCTAAACTAACCGCTAACACGTTCGAAGAAGCGACGCATCCTTTCATCTTCGGCCATCAAACGTTTCTTGGCGACGGGACGCGTCGAGGCGAACTTCTGATTAAACGTTTGTTGCGCCAGCTCGTAAACGAAGTGCAACTAATATTCCACTAGCAAGCAATTTATGGCCAACTACCGTCGCAGTGTTGCTACGCGGAATGCCATAATGAATAATAAATTTCCCGGGACCAAAAACAAAGCGTTCCTTGCCCTGTATTTAGAAACGCCGTATTTTACCGTGGGCGGGACTGTTTTATGTCGTATCGTGCTCAGAAGCGCGATAATAACGTATTAGATGTTCCAAGTATTATTAGATTGAGGTATAAACATTATTGGATTCATGGACTACTGATCACTTTAATTCTTGTTGGGATAACGAAGTGCATTGGTGTGGTGGATGATGCAGGTTTTTTCAATTTCAATTACGTTCTTTTTCTTTGCAATACGAGTCAGTAAAATTGTCTATGTCGATTTGATAAGGCAGAAATTTGATTCACATTTCAAATTTCCTAATCATCCATTGGAGTAAAAATAATTACACAACACAAGTAACAAGTTTTCCTGGATAACTTCATCCCTTCCTAAAATATTGAATCGTTCCAATTTAAACAAAACACCCTGTACAATACATTATTAACAAACTCACCAGCGGTGTGCAGCGGAGGGTGGTAAAACTTGACATTGGCTGGCAGAGCGAGGGTGGCAGGGATCGACAGTTGCAAACCAGGCCCCAGTAGATGGACCAGCGCGCTAACGACAGTCACCACCCAACCCCAGCCACCCTCTGGGTAGTAATGTCTGGATAGAAGCCGCCTGGCTTGCACCTGGGGGCTGCCAACCTGTGGACGACAACGTTTCTTCTGCTCGTCGTCCTCTTTGCGTTTCTTCGGTTTTTCCTCGACGCTGCCGTTTTCTGTGCCCCGATTTTGTTTCACTCGCGCGTCCAGGAGCGGCCAGGATCGCGCTCGAGATATCGACATCACACGCGTGCCTCTGTTCACCGATGGGCAAACTACGTGCCCGTTTCGGCCACGATCGTTCTTTTCGTTCGAGCAGCCCTTGGCGCGGACGCCAGCGTCCCACGCGACCGATGCTGCGGGCACAGATGCGTCAGAAACATGCTTCCAACCCTCTGGAAGGCAATGAGCTCCCTTGTCGCGCGTTTCTCGCCGTTAACAGTGCACTGGCCGCGGACTCCACTGTGGCGTCCTCGAAGATTATGAGGCTTGGAACCGTTTGGGTTATTGCTTGAGGGTACGCTTTTATTTTGGGGTTGATGGGGTGATATTCTTGTTGTTTGAGGTCCTTGAAATATTTCTGGGAAATTGTATTTAAATAATTGGAAAATTGTTGAGGCTGTAGCTGTTTCTATCAGGGGTTGTTCTGTTACGGTGGTTTAATAGGGACGTTTGGAGAGGTGCTTTCTTATTTTCGGATAGAAATGGATTCTTTTTGTTAATACTCCTGTTGCGTTAGGTCTGTAGAATATTTCAATGAGATCATATTCAATAAATGTAAATATTTTTGTTAATACTCCTGTTGCTTGAGGTATTTAGAATATTTACAAGAGATCATGTTAAATAATTTTGAAAATTGTCATAGTTATTATAGTTTGTATCACAACCATTTCACTGACTCGAAACTTGAACACGTTTTGACGTGTAATATTCGTATTTTGAAACAAATGGAAACTAGGCCAGTTGTAAATTTAACACAATTTTGTACATACCTGTACACGTAAACGAACCAAATTTCAAGAGTTTGTATCAATTACTTCAACTATAAAAAAAATGGTGAAAATTGCCTCGAAAGTGGTAAAAATGAAAGAGTATCCCCTTAAGAGAGGAAGCACCCCTATTATCAGAATTGCCCCTTTTATTTATGCGTTCCTAACTCGTAAGTTATAAAAGACATCGAAAACTGATTTAAATGATTGTTATATCCCTCCCGAAGGGCCTCGTATATGTAAGCAAAAATTTTCCTATTGAGGCTACTTTTGTACCTTAACGGGGGAAAACACCCCTATTATCCGAGCCACCCCATCTTAGGACTCGTCAATTACAGAAGATATCCAGGAATGATTTAGGTAAATGTTACACCTTTTCTGAATGCCTAGATATCTAAATTTTCAGAACTTTATAATAACATCTATCGATGCTTGATTTTCACGCGAATTTCACCCCTTAAACTGCTCTTCCCTATTTGTTCCATGCTCGTGGCTAGGGGTTAGCTCGTTGGTCGGAATAGTTTCGGTGGAATTACTTGTACGGCCCGCTTTGAATTGCAAAGAAGGATATTAAAATGAAGCGTCTTGTATTCTACTTAGACCAGATTGGATGGATTTCTGTAACGACGAGGAAACTAATTTTTCGAAATGGTAGTTTAACGTTTTAACCGCGGGAGAATCCTTGAGATTTGAATGCTGAGAACGTGTAGATTGTAGATGTAGATGTAGATGTCTATGTAGATTGGCTAAAAAACAAGTGGTTTCATGACTGAGTTTATACCAAAATTATCTGCACTGACAAACGCTTATTCTTACCGCTAAAAGTTGTTTATTTCGAAGTGAAGAATCGTAAATCTACTTACGACGAGGCAATATTTACCATATAAATATATCGTGGCGGAATTAACAAAAAAACAAACAAAAATTGAGGTACACTACTCTTTCACATTTCAACAAACAATGATATATTTCAATTTTGTATTTAGTTTTTTAAATTACAACGCTATGATCCTCTACTTCCAAAATAATAATATCTTATAGGAAAGTTTATATTCATAATGCACGATCAGCAAGGTATATCTGACATAAATATTCGATAAAATAAAAAATTCAAAAACACTCAAGGATCAATGTAACCAAAACTTGCTTTAATGGCCTCGAAATTCTCGATGCAGAATTCGTTTCCATAAATCAACAGCTCCGATCGGTTTCATCGTTTCTCGATGCGCTTCTCAATGCATCATCAGCGCGAGGAACAAGACAATCGAAGAGGGGCGGATCTGCGTTTTACGTAACACCTTCGAGGCAACTTTGAGTGGAAAGTTGTAAAGATGGATTAACGATGTTCATGGGCCCCGGCGAAATGGACCATTATAAATTACACGGTGGACCTTCGCCGTTACGACATCGATCGGTGGTTAAGGCGTGCAACGTTGATGCACGTGCCCCCCGGGGATGGAGAGCGTAATGGTGGATTTTAATAAATTTTCTGCTCATTATACGCCAGCGACGATTTATCACACGCAAACTTTAACGTTGGTCCCCTGCGGTGCGCCAAAATGCAGCTTCTCGACGATCGCGTTTGGGGGCCATTATTATTTAAAAAAGTAGAATAATTGATTTTCGGGGGGGTATTTTAATACTGAAAGCAGCAGTGGAGCCTTTGGTCTATAGACTAGAAATCGTATTGGGTACCTTATGTTTATTAAAATAAATTTTAGGTAGATATTTAGCTAGAATTTCTTTTAGATTTCTTTCTTTCTGAGTTTTAGACAAGATAATTTTGTCTACAGGTCACGTGGTCTTTATAACTATTGTACAGAGTGGTTACCCATCCGTAGCAAACATTCTAGAAAAGAAAATAGAAAACGAAGTGAATAGATTTACTTTAAAAAAATTTTTGTTTTAATAAATTCCAAACATCGTCTCGAAAATTATTCTACTCGACTGAAAAATCAGTGTTCAATTATCGCCACCTTAGCAGCTGTAAGGCCAATCAGTGGACACGAAACGAGTTTTCGCGCGTGAAATCGTGAATTTATTTATCGTGACGAATCGATATCGCGCGCGCGAATGCGGTGAGAATTAGGTTAACGCTGTAATTAATGGTTTGCGCCGAAGTGATCCTTCTTCTTTTTTTTTTCAGTTTCCTCGCGGAGGCTGTAATCGAGACTTCGAGCTACCTTCGCAATTAATATTTTGCCAAATGAAATTGAGGAGAAAGTCGAGGCCCGTTTCTCCAATTGAATCGGTCGTTGCAGATATGGGCACAACTTTATTCGATTAATAAATGATAAGTGAACATTTCGCATAGTGATTTATACGCGGGGTTTAATCGATTCAATATGAATTCAGAGAAGCTTCTTGGGTGGTCCACGAAATACTATGTCTTTTCTATTACTTTCTTTGCATGACTTTTATAATTAACTATATTTATTTTGTTTATATCGGATGTATTATATTCCAGGTACATTTGATACAATAGTAATTCAGATAAGCTTCTACTAGGGCGGCCCTTGAATTTCTTCGTTTTCTCCAACATTTTTCTTGCGCGACTCCTATAATTAACTAAATTTATTTTATGAGATTGAGATATATTAATCGCATCGGTATACAAAATT